GAGAAAAATTGTGATAGGGCCAGTCCGTTTCTGGACACCTGATAATAGCAAAAAGTTGATTTTAGCATCAAATCGTAGAGCTCCATGTGTAATACAACGTACGAAAATTTTATTAAAATATACAGGGTGGTTTCAAAGTTATAACCCTAAACGTTAATTTCTAGGTACCCCTTTGACCCCCCATAACTCCGTTAGGGGGCACATTAGGAAAAAAATTATAGGAAGGACTAGTTTTATTTTAACCTCCCCTATACACTCCCGAGAGATTAGGAGGTACTTACCGGACACCCTGTATATTTTTTAAAATTGTCGTCAAGTGAAGCTCAAATTGGAGGTCATATTTATACAGAGGCTTCCTTTGACCTTTAGAAATACGTATCGATAGTTTTTTTTTGCTGAAATTCCTTCGTAAAAACTTATTTTTTTTTAGTAATTTTCGAATCCCGCCACTGGACAAGCTGATGTAACCTCAAATAACGGCGGACTTTAGTCACTACAATCTGACAACTTATTGTGAGTTTGTTATTGAAATTACAAAAAGTTTTGAATACAAAATTTTTAGCTTTTTTTATTAATTTTTATAATTCTTTTATAAAATTTTTAGCAAAAACAACTGAATAATGAAAATTACTAAATTAAAGAAAACATTTTTTTTAATGGACCACCCTATATCAATGCATACTTTAGCTTCGTTGAATTTTTTTCTTTTAAAAATACATAATTCATTAGTTAATTGTTTTTTATAATACTGTATTATAAAAACTCGTAAAAAAAGCTAAAACTTTTGTATTAAAAACTTTTTTGTAATTTCAATAATAAACTCACAATAAGTTGTCAGATTATAGTGACTAACCCCGTACAATGCTCTTTGGCTCTCGTTACTTTTGTTGAGTGGCTTTTCGCCACACATAAACAGTACGTAATAAGTAACCTAGCAAAAAACTCACAGGAAACAGTAGTGATAAATGAAATACACAAAATAAGTAATCTGTTTACTCACTCGTTTGGAATTTAATAATGATTAAAATTGACAGTTAGATGTACTGTCCTCCAATGCGAAACAACAACTGACCCTCTTCGCTTTGTCACAATTGGCCCGCACTATCTCCCTTCACTTGCACTGTAGGTTGCATACAATTCATGTATTTGTAATACCCGCTTGGAAATTTTCATAGTACAAAATTACTCAGTAATAATTAAATTTAAATCATGTTAGAGGAAAAATTAACTGTTAATTGGTTTTACATACTGAGAATAGAGTCAATTATTTTTTATTATGTGTTTTTTACAAAATAGCGAAATAATTATTTTATAATACAAACTAGTGTTACTTAATAATTTAAAACGTATGTTTATCTCCATACCAGTATTAGTTGACATCTGTTTAAAAATACAATTTGTATGTGACCTTATTTGATGAGGATATTGGAAAAAAAATGGAATTTATTTGAATTAGCTCGATATCTGAAAAGTAAAGTTTAATAAATACCTTGTTTATGCATTAGATACACGTAATCTTACTAGGGAAATCGGTATTTTGACACAAAATGAATAAATTCCCCATTCCCGCTCTAATTTATTTCACGGTGTACTTAAGGTATGTAAAAACAAAAATCCACCCTCAAACGACGTTGAATTATCCCTTTCGGTTGCTATCGATTATGGATTAGACTCTATCTGATTACCATCACCCCGCTCGACACAATGGGTCTCTTTTCAGGACTTCGACAGCGCATTTAAACTCTTAAAACTTTTACCACTTTTACCCCGGCCTCGGGGTGAGGTGTTGCATAATTAAAACCCTAAAAATACCGAACTTATCCAGAAGTTAGCAACTCGCCGCAGTTAATATTAAAACAAACAAGTCTCCCACCAATTTAAATTTCTTTCGGATTTATGCGTTACATAAAATGGTTTATTTGTTGATTTTATTTAAAAGTAAGAGGTTGTTTAAAGCTTAGTTTCGTTGTTCTTTGCAGGGGTTCGAACCCGGTGCGGATAGCAGCGCCGCCAGAGTTAGCAGGAATGACGCTGGAATCCAGGCTGGTAACCTACGACTGGGACAATCAGTTTCACAGCTTCCAGGAGGCCACCATGAGGGGGTCCTTCAAGCCGATCTGCTGGACAGCGCAGTCCACTGTGCTACCGGTAGGTGTCGCTTTTTGCAGTAGATAGTAACTAGTACTAGTAAGTAAGGTTGATTTAAGGCAAAATCTGAACACAACGAAAATTCTTACGTCGTCATATTAAGCTTTATTTTGATGATACGATTTAGTTCCAATTTTATTCAAAAGATGGAGCTCACTGAGCTTAAATCGAGTAAAAAAATTCTTAGACGCAACATTTTTAATACTGATTATAAAAAAATGTTTTTGAAAATAAAAATCGTCGGAGGATACGTATTTGGACTTTCTGAAATTTTCACTTGTCTGAATTTTCCTGTGAATTTTATCACTCGGCAAGGAATTTTTTTATAATTTAAAAATTTGGTATCTGCAGAGTATTCCGATTTGATCCGAAAGATGCAGTACGATTTACATAACTGTTTTGTTATACAGGGTGATTCACATTTTATGATCAGGACTTTAACCATCGATAAATCTCGTAAAAATGATGTTATTTTGAAGTATACGCCTTTTTTTGCTGTAGAATATACCGCAATGCAAAAAAATACATTCATTTTGATTAAATTTCCAGTGGCGTAGAAATTATATTAAAATAGGGGTTATCAAAACCCCTTACCGACGCCTAAGATTGATCCATTTTCACAATAAATTACAAAATCGATAAAGCTTTTATGGCTTTTATAGTTTAAGAAAAATGTAATAAAATCCAAAAAAAATTTATTTTCAAGAGCTTATATCTCTAAAAGGAAGCCTTTGGAAGAAAAAGTGTATATTTCAAAATGACATTATTTTGACGCGATGTGTCGATGTCCTAATCATAAAAAGTGATTCACCCTGTATACTGAGTGACTTAATGCGCCTATGGAACCAAGAACCACTACGTAGCCTGTTGATTTTGTGAAGTGACAATATAATTTTAACATTGGAAATGTTTAAGGTATAGAAAGTATATCGCTAGGTGTTAGGAAATATATATGTGTTTAGGGAGGGGTGAGGGGGGCGTGTTTGTGTGTAACTATTAAGGTGTAAAAAATGTTTAGTCGAGACCGCTGGGCGCAGGTTTGGTCCTATCGGAATGATTTTGCGTCGTATAGAAAGAAGTAGTCTGGGTATTCCACTAATTCGTAATCACTATTATTATAACCTCTAAAATTTGCTAGAGTTTTGTTATGTCGATAAGTGTGCAGTTGGGGTGGCCGTAGAGTTTTGGGCGGTTTTTAGAGTTGTTTTATTATTCTGGGTTTAGATGAGGTAAATATATACAGAGTGGTATCTTATATTGTTTTATCGTTTGCGGCCTACAAGCTGATTTTTAATTGTTGACAAAATTGATAACTTTATATCTCTCTTTTTGGTTTAAATATTCTACAGCCATATTTTTTGAAATACATGCCATGGTGTGTGTTTAAATACATAAATAAATTCATTTACAATATTTCAGAAGTTTGCCTGGTGGCTAATTGTCAATTTTCTTATGACGCCTAAAATGGGAAAAAATGTAAATTTTTGTTACCATTCAAAAAATTTGTGTTTTGAAAATATGTGCAGATGATAAAGTAACATTGACAAAGGTTTTAAAATGTCAATAGTATCTTTAGCGTAATTCCAAATTTTATAAAAAAATATTAGGGAGAGTTATAATTAATAAAAATGTGGAATTTTGCATTAAAAAGACTCGGGAAAGATACCCCCACAAAAAAAATTATAAGCTGCGTTAAGACACCCTGTATATAAAATAATAATACAATATAATTTAACAGGGGTGTGCCAGATCAAATCCGAACACGTTGTATATTAAATAATATAAAATCTTTTCGTATCTTAATATATTTTTATACACTTTACAATAAAAACTATAGCTTTTAAAAATTATCCAATAGATCCTAACATAACCAGTATTAAAAATTTTAAGACCTACGAGTATTTCTTACTAGAGAAAAGATTTTTATAATATTTTTTTGTTTGTTTTTTTAATCACAATTTTTTTTTATTAAACATATTGCTTGATTTTTTCTTATAAACTTTTTTATTTGAATGCCTATTCAGCAATCACAAAATACAGGGTGAGTCAGAACATCCAATAAAAATTTTGAATGTACAGGGGACTCTTACAAATACAATTTTGTGAAAAAAAATTAAAAAGGCAGTTCAGGAATTATTTTAAAATACATTTCTGCACGGCACTGGAAACTGGTCTACAGTGAAACCTGACATTGCGCGAGGCAAAGCATGCAAGCGGCGACCGGCACGGCAGCAAAGTGTAATGAACGGACAAAAAAATCGAAACAATTTCTTCAAGGAAAGAAATAAATAAAATCTTATAACACCTATTTTATATCAGCAAATTGAACTGCTTTTGCCGTTATTGTTTTTATTAATTAATAAAATTAATTTGTGGTTTTAATTATTAAAATAATTTGACATACCTGATGTTTCAACAACTGTTTTAAATTTTGTCCTTTTTGTAAACACATAACATAAATGCTTCACGATACCACAAATGTTGTCTTGCTTCACCATAAATTAAAACGATTTCCTATCCCAACTAACACAAATGTTGTCTTGCTTCACCATAATACAAATGATTCAGCATAAATAATAATGTTTTCTTGCTTCAACATAAATTAAAACGGTATCCTCCAACTCCGAGTTGCTATACACGTAAGCCATTTTTGACTCTTAAAAAACTAATGTAAACACTATCGCAACAACGATAATACTAAAATCGGATTTCAGTATTCAGAATCACCTGGGGCCACGTAGGCGAATGACGCTAAAGACTGTAGTATAACAACCCCGGGTTCGATCGAAAAAAAATATATAAACGAACGTTGTGGCCAAAAATATGTGATCGTCATAAGGAATATCTATGAATTGACATTTCGGAAGATCTGTTTTAGCAATTATTTTTTTTGTATGTAATTGTTCTTTTTACAGATTCATTCCTCACGGGCGAAAATGTTAGTAAATTCAACAAGGCTTTTATATGCGTCTGACATAAAGTGAGCACAACAAATGCTTTATTAGTTTTTCGAACAATGTAATCATGACAAAACAAATTAAATGTGCAACAAAGGAGTTGTTATTGCAATATCCGGGCAGTCACGACAATATGTATATATTTTAACATGTATCTAATAAATAATGAGCAATCGTTATGCCCTTGAGCATAAAGCTAAACGTACAGAGAAGAATTGTTATCATTAAACATCTATAATCATCACAATCCTAAGATTACATAGAATAATTAATAACAAAGTACTTAAAGAATATTACCCGCTAATTAATATGGGTTAAACACTTTGATTTTTCACTATTTTACCACACTGCATGCCGATCGTCTTACTCCCATCTCGACACTGTTCTCACTTCAACTATCAAGGCTTCCTTTCAGAATTCACCACCTAAGCGTTTGTTTTTGCGCTTCCTTCTACCAACTGTCAATATTACGTTTTCATTATTATACAACACCCACGTAACAGGTGACGTTGAAGTTGATATGATAACTATGGTATTGCACAAGACTTCAGTAGCCCAGCGATGTAAAGGTTGAAAATACTACAACTTAATATATATTTTACTATATCGACTCCATTTTTCATGACGCATCTGTTCCCAATTTTTTTGGACAAATTGTGAATCACCCTGTATAGTTAAAGTAATAAATAAAATTTGTCTTTCCTTTTTCTTTACCGGTCTCAATTGTTTCAGAATACGGACAAAGAGTCCCACTACCCGAATATATCGAAACCGTACGTCAGGAACGTGGTGGACCAGTGCAACTACCGGAGGTACAGCACGGAGGGCTGGCCCGGCGGCACGCCCATCCTGGAGCTGGACGGCAACCACATAGAGGGCGCCGCCCGCAGCAAGGTCTCCCGCAGCAGCAGCCCTGCCGCGGAGGAATCCCTGGGACTCAGCAGGTTTAACTTGGCTTCGAGCTACGCGTCGAGCGGCGTCCTCGTAGTGATATCAATTTTCCTTGTCTGGTTCCACCGCTGAGAGACGCCGATCCCCGGACAAAGAGACCCTTTTTTCTACTGACTGACTCGGTGAATGTACTGTTATGTGACAATTTCCCGTGAGTTGTTTTGAGTCATGTTTTACTAGTCCGTTCGGCCAGGTATGTGAGGAACTGCTACGAGGCGGGGGTCGGTGTGAGGGTAGTAAAACGTTCAGGTCGCGAGGGGGGCGGTTTGGTGGAAATGTGGGACGAAAGTTGACATTTTATCGGGGTGTGGGTAGTATGCAATACGTGACTTTTTCGAGTTTTTGATTTCTTTTCTCGTAAATTCACGAGGGTAATCTTTGTTCCCCTTTTACTTGATTAATCCCCGACAGCCAAAGACAACCGAAATTGAGAAAACAATTTTGTAACCATGTGTGGTTTCACCACTTCTATTCACTCATTGCGTTGTAACTGACCAAATACACAGCCTGACCAGTTATGCATGGAATAGGCCAAAGGCCCGAGAGAAAGGTCAAGTCCGCAGTAAGCAGACTTGCCTACCTTTCTAGTATTACATTAAAACAACATTCTGTTTGATCGGCTGTGATTGGTGTAATTTTTCACGAGATTCTATTCAATCAATCAGCGATGGTATTATCTCGAGAGGAGACCTAACGATCATTAAAATTGTAGACTCCAAGATTTAGGGAATTTTCGTTACCAGTACCAATCGTGTAATCTTGGGTTGCCTAAGCTCAGCAGTCACATGGCTCGTAAACATTTATGAAGGAAAGCAATTTTGATAATCATATGTGTGGTTTCACCACTTCTGTTCACTCATTGCCTTGTAACTGACCAAATACACAGCCTGACCAGTTATTTTGCATGGAATAGGCCGAAGGCCCGAGAGAAAGGTCAAGTCCGCAGTAAGCAGACTTGCCTACCTTTCTAGTATTACATTAAAACAACATTCTGTTTGATCGGCTGTGATTGGTGTAATTTTTCACGAGATTCTATTCAATCAATCAGCGATGGTATTATCTCGAGAGGAGACCTAACGATCATTAAAATTGTAGACTCCAAGATTTAGGGAATTTTCGTTACCAGTACCAATCGTGTAATCTTGGGTTGCCTAAGCTCAGCAGTCACATGGCTTGTAAACATTTATGAAGGAAAACAATTTTGATAATCATATGTGTGGTTTTAGCACTTCTATTCACTCATTACATTGTAACTGACCAAATACGAAAGGCCCGAGAAAGGTCAAGTCCGCGAAACAGACTTGCCTACCTTTCCAGTATTACATTAAACCGACATTCTGTTTCATCGGCTGTGATTGGTGTAATTTTTCACGAATAATATTGAATTTGCTACCTAGCAGTAAGTGATTCTTTGTTACCGATAAAACCGTAGTTTTATGAGTCATAAATCTTCAGTCGACTCGATTTTTGTCAGTATGTGGTTTTATCAGCGGTTAAAACCTGAGTAGGCTTTCGTTTCGTCAGTGTAAAGATTGGTCAGAAATTATTCAAAACATGACATTTGTTTGATCATAGATAGTATGTGGTTTTATCACAATAAGAGATCAGCTAGGTAACTGATTTGAATCTTGAAATCTTAAAATTAACAGAAAACCAAGAAAAATCGGTGATTTTACAAAAAAAAAAAACTTCTGACAAAACCACAGTCTCGTTTGGTATACGGCACCAATAAAAATTTCGGTAGACTTGAGTTTTGTCAGAGTAATAATGAATGATTCGGCGATATAAACAAAAAAAATTATATTTGATTGGTTTATAATGGAATGAGTGATATAGTCACAGTTATTTCTTCCCTGACTGTTTTTTTTATGTGCAAAGCCGTTTTTCGTTTTTATTAATAAAATATACAGTTTCGGTTCTTTAAAATTACCGAAACTCCAAGATAATAATTTCTAATAAACCGAATAATTTCTCAAAATTAAATATGGACTAATCACTTCGTCTTGTACTCTTTTTCGTACAGTGGAAGCAATTTATTTTTTCGAATTATTAGATTTACGTGCAACACCGAACGGCAGACATTAAATAAAAGTTGAATTTGCGATTTTAAATTAATTCATGTTATTATTATTTTAATGAACATTACTATAAAAAACTGAAGGCAACATTTGAGTCATAAGCAAAACATCACACATGGCAGTATACCTAGCAAAAAAGGTTTTGCCGAAATTAGATGTGGTTCGATAAAACGAACGAATCTGCCAAATATTGACCACGACTACCATACCTAGTAAAAATTCACTAAACTTTTGAAAAATCCATGATTGAGTTGAGTTAAAACCAGTAAAATGGCATCTTTTGTTTAAAACGGATATGTCTTTGATCTGATACCAATTGTCGAGCGAAATGCCAAAAGAAAAAAATGTATTGTGTTAATTAATTAGTTTTAGAAAAATCAATTTTTTGTTTTGATCATTGTATTTTCAACTGAAATAAATAGAAATTAAAATCAAATTAATATCAGAATTTATCATTTCATAATTTTGTCACTGGCTTTGCGAGAGCATCCTATTGAAGGAAAAATGCCGCTCGTCCTTTTCGTTACGAATTTAAAAATTATGTTACACAAACTGTCATGATTTAAGACTATTAACAAAAATATACCATGAATGAAGTTCAAATATACTTTTTTATTAAACAGACAAATAACTCACAAAACTTGGAAACTATAACTATCGCAAAATTGCAAGTCTTGAACTTTCTACGATTTTACTTTGGTGGAAATTTTTGAAAAAACGTATTAGCAATTTTTTCTAAAATCTAACAGGATATTCTACACTGCTAAAAATGTCTCTCTTAGAATTTAATCATTTTTAAAATTTACATAGAAATGTATACTTAATAGTTTTTAGAATATTTGAGTTTATTTTGATTATCTTCGTTTTAATTTTTTGTTCTGAAAAAAATATTACAAACGAAAATTTTTTTAGATAAAAATATATTTGACATACTTTTCCAAAAATAGGAGCAAATTTATGATTAACAATTTTTGGAAAGTTTTCCAATATGTGTGTTCTTGGCGTTTTAATAAAAATATTTGTCTTTGCCTATAAATTTTAGTAATCTATAAAATGCCATGTCCTGTTTCATTGTTCAGAATGTTTGATTTGTTGAAAATTAATTAACATCTGCCTCGTTTTCTATCATTTCAAGACAGTTGTAGGCAACACAAAATAAATGAACAAGACTAAACTAAGTTCTAGACAACTTTCTGTACTAAAACTTAGTTTGCACTAGAGCCATGGAGCAATAAATTTTTTGATCAATTTCTTTAAAATAAATGAATTGAATACGAAACTCAAGACAATATTTTCTGCACTATAGCCTGGTTTACACTACAAGCGTCGAGCGACAAATTCTTTTACAATAAAACCATTTAAGTATCTCTTTGTTTAGCGTGCCTGTAAGTATTTCAAAAACACAAATAAAATATAAAAACGTTTGCCAGGGGTTTTTGCCCACTATTATTTCGCTACTTTCAGAAATTCTCTGTTTGAACAATCGCGTATAGCGAACGTATGGATTTGATCAAGCGGAATTGTTTAGTGTAACTGTTATTGATTGTTTATAGGTAATTAGTAGTTACCCGGGAGCAATCGCTGTAATTGCGATACGAATATGAATTTCAAGCATAATTCTGTACCATTAAAGCGGTACGCACACAATTGTCATATATTTCTCACATAATCTAGTTGGCGGTTAGTTATCCGTCTATACCATCGAACGGAATAACTATTTTAATGATTTACACAGCCAGCGGCTGTGTGCTCGACAAGCCAACTGTGATGTACGCGTTAACTATAGCTCATTTGTTCCTATTCAGTCAAGGAGGTAACGCTGACGCAAGGGTATAGAAGTGAACGTTTCGGGATAATTTCGAATTGATTTTTAAGTGCAATACGATGTTTTTGCTCAAAAGGGGAGTAGTCCTTCAGAAGCGGATAAAAGATTTTCGTAATACAATTTTCATTACGTGACGTCAGTAATGTCTCGTGGGGTATTTTTAGTTAAAACTGTGATCCGCGAGCATAGTACGTGTTCGTGCGCCGACTTATTTCCATATGAACGTTTTACTACTAATATAAAAAAAAGTTGCGGCAAGCTGCCGAATGGGACAGTCGATTCGCCGCGCTGTGGTCTGTGATGCAAGTAGTATAAGCACTTTTTGATATTCTGTTCTCTATAATTCACGTAGTTCGGCTATTGTTGTTAGTTTCCACTTCAGATCCCTTATTGTTAGGCTTTGGCCACACGCCGATCGAGAAAAAAGACGATGGTACTCAATTTTTGTGTCACTAAATAATCCCTTCTTCGTTTTTTTTATTTAATATGCCCTTCTTTTTCTATCTGCGGTGTGGCCGGTCTCTAGTTGTTGGGTATTTTTGTAACTATATGTAAATTTGGAATCATTATTTGTATATTCGTAGTCCTGACTGGTGCTAAATATAGTTTTTATCCTTTGTACATGTACTTGTATCTAATTTATTATAAAATATTGTTTGTCCAATAGGAACAAATCCTTGTACAGTGTAGATAACTTGTGTAATATATTTTATAAATAAAATCTCCATACTTAGCAATAACTTACAACGGTGTGTTTTATTTAACCATCAATTAATGTGTTAGGACCGAAAGTGTGATTAAGTCATTTTGATGAAAGGTAGGTAACATTTCTTTTTGTAATAAACACAGAAAAATGAAATAAACAGTATTTTTATTAAGAAAAAAGAAACAAAAGGTACGGAGTACACAGGGACCGGACCGGACGGTGTAGCGAAACAGCTGATTTCCTAGTTGTCTCGTTCAGTTTTGCAATTGTTTTCAAAATCAAAGTGCAACGGATCTCAACTTCATTGAGACTATATGGACGAATGAGCGAGTGTCTTTTCGCCGTATCTGTCATTTTAAATACGTAGGTTTGGTACCATACAACTCTGAAAAGTAATAACTTGCATCAAGTGTATACCTATTTCTCCGAAAGCCATACTGAATTCTAGACAGCAATTGCTTCGACTACAGATAGGAAGTAAGTTTGTTTTTTATTATTATTTCAAAAAGTTTAGACAACAATTTTGGTATTGACATTATAATAGTCCACACTTGTGGAATTCTTTAAAAGTCTGGCATGACATTGTGACTGAATCACTCTGTATATATAAAAAAATACTCATTTAATTTTTAATTTTCCTTAGTTGCTTTTTTATTATTTATCTTTCTTCGTCGTAAAGCTTCAAGCCCTTAATATATCAGATTCGGATGCCATGAAACCGATCGTAATCAATTATTCCAATTCCTTTGAATTTTTTCGAGAACATGAACATTTCTCGTGAAAGCTTTTTGTATTTAATGAATAACAAATTAGTAAAAGCTCCGACAATATAATATTTCTTTCATGTTGTTACTTTATCCTAGAATTTATTATTGATGATGGAAGGGAAATAAAAGATACCTTTCTGC